GCAGGAATGTCATGGGAGATGGTTAGTCTGAGGAGGGAAGAAGAGATGAAACTGGTCCCCGGACTTTTACAGGGATGTAGAATAAACCCAGGAGGCAAGATGGTCCTGTAAGGGTGAGTGTTAGTACAGTGTGTAGGTCAGGGCGTCCACCAGTGTGGTCTGGTCTCCTTCACCAACAATACCTACTGTCAAGAAAAATGACCAGGAAGTAACATAATGAACACAAATCACTGAGGGGTAACAGTAATGTAATTCTCTTGAGCTATGTTTTTATTGGTCAGGCTCTGTGACCAATAATAAGCAATCACAGTGCCTCCCTTAGCTACTTGTATTTATTTATAATAGTTCCAGCTCCATCTCTACCAAGAGAAGAGTACACAGTTCTATAAACAAACCTGTCAAGAAAAAAAAAAATGTAATTATAATCTCAGGAAACTTGGGTTCTAGTTTCAAATGCTGAAGCAAAGAATTGACTTAATTTTGTTAGCAATTCTTCTCATCTTAGTTTACATATCCTCTGTCCTGCTGGGCTCCGTCTTCAGCCAAAATGGTGCATAATCTTGGGGCTTACAGTTCATTCCCTGTAAAGTTAGGATATCTTTTGTCAAAGACAGGTAAGGTATCAGTTAAGCAGGAGGTTGTAAGTAATTTTAGCTTGTCTATTGTTGAGGAAAATGATCTCATTTTGCTATGGTGCTAATACTCTTATCTGCAAAAGATCCACTTTATTATTTTAAGTGAATCCGTAAGAATTTCAGGACTGGGACAGATACACACACATGCACATATAAGTACATGTTACTGAGATATAATTCACATGCCATACAATTCACCCTATTGACATGTACAACCCAGTGGTTTTAAGTATATTTATAGAGTTGTCCAATCATCACTGTTATCATTTGTGTCTAGATGTCCCCTCAAAGCCTCATATACATTTAGATGGAACTTTTTCAGAGGCAGCTGAATCTATAACTTGTGACTGATTTATAGTGCAATGCTGGGAGTAAGGGTGCTGGGATTAAGGGTGAGTGATTGCTGGATCAGTCCACTGATTGGATTGGTACCACCCTAATCCCAGCAGTCTGGATAAGATAAAAGAGGCAGAAAGAGGCTTGTTTCCCCTCTCTTGTTGCTTCTGCTGTCTTCCACCACCATGAACTATTGCCCCTCTGCCACGTGCCACCCTCTCTTGGAGCTACCCAATGATGGACTGAAACCTCTACAAACTGTGAGCTAAATAAAACTTTCCTCCTTTAACTTTGAGCATAGAGTATTTTGTCTCAGAAATGAGAAAAGTAACTAAGACAATCACCAACTAAATTTAGAAAAGGACACAGTTCAAAATCCTCTAATTCATCCTGCAGAGAGGAAATCCAATGCCCCGATGGGTAAGGCACGTTTCCAAGGTCACACAGCTGACCACTGGCCAAACCAGGCCTAAATCCCTGGGAATTCCTGTCCCCCTGACATCATCCAGGACTCCTCTCCCCAGCTCCTGGGAAAGTTCTATATGAATTGAAACCCAACGTTAAAACATCGTCTGTGAGACGTACTTAGTCATCTTGTCTTTGACAAAGGGATCAAACACCTTCACTGCAAGAAAGATAGCCTCTTTAATAAATGGTGCTGGAAAAAATGCCTTTCCACATGCCCAAGATGAAAACTAGACCCATGATTTTCACCATGCGCTGCACTAAAATCAAAATGGCAAAGAGCTAAATACTAAAACAGAAACACTAAATCTGCTGCAAGATAGAATGGGTAGAACTCTTGAAGACATTGGTGTAGGCAAAGACTTTATGACCAAAACCCAGACCACAAGGGAACTATCACAAAGAATCAACAACTGGGATCCCTCTTATTAAAAAGCTTTTGCACAGCAAGAGAAACCACAAACAGAGTGGAGACAACCCACAGTGTGGGAAAAAAATTTTGCCAGCTGTTTCTCAGACAAAGGATGACATTCTAGAATATACAAAGAACTCAAAAAACCCAGATACCCCAAATTTAAAGATCCAAACCAAAAATGGGCATCTGAAATAAATAGACACTTCTCAGAGGAAGAAGTAGAAATGACAAATAAATATATGAAAAAATGTTCAACATCATTTGTCATTCACGCAATGCAAATTAACACAACAATAAGATTCCATCTCACCGCAGAAAGAATGGTTATTATCAAGAAATCAAAGCCAGGCATGATGGCTCACACCAGTAATCTCAGCACTTGGGAGGCTGAGGCAGGAGGATTGCTGTGAGTTTGGGCCCAGCGTGCTCTACAAAGTGAGTTGGAGGCCAGCCTGAACTGCATAGTGAAACCCTGTCTTAAAAAGACAAAAAAAGAAAGAAAGAAAGAAAGAAAGAAAGAAAGAAAGAAAGAAAGAAAGAAAGAACCAATAACAAATGATGGTGGGGCTGTGGAGAAAAAGTAATACTTCTCCACGCTTGGTGGGAGTGTAGACTGGTGCAAATACTGGAAATCAGTATAGAGATTCCTCAAAAAGCTAGGACTACAGGTTTCTGTTAGACCCAGCTATTCCTCTTCTTCGTATCTTCTCAAAAGAATTAAAAGCATCAAACCACAGTGATGCATACACACCCATGTTTATAGCAGCACAGTTGTAATAGCTAAATCTTGCAAACAGCCCAAATGCCTATCAACTGATGAACAAATAAAGAAGTAGTTTTTTTAATACCATGGAGTATTATTCTTCCATAAAGAAAGATAAGCTTGAGACATTTCTAGATATATGGATGCATCTGAGACCATATCCTGAAAAGAAATAAGTCGGACACACATGTGCAAATACTGCATTGTTTCTCTGGTGTGAGAAACTGAAAGTGTAAATAAGGACCAAAATATATAATAGATATTGTGACATAGAAAGAAAATGTTGGAAGGGAACCAGGGAGGGGGCAGGGGGTAAAGGAAGGAAGAGGAAAGAAAACAACGAGAAAAGAAGGAAAAAATGGAAACAAAGCTTTTGTAACTAAGGAGAGGCTGAAGGGAGGGGAGGGGAATGGGGTAAAGAAGAATCAAGATATATTCTGTACAGGTACAAATTCCCTATGATGAATGTGATCACTATGTATATCTAAAATGCACTGATAAAATTAATTAACAAAATTAATAAAATGTTATCTGTGAACATCTGGCATTTTTTATCACTGTGCGCTGTCTTATTTTATTAATCCCAGTCTAATTTCCCCAGAAAATCTGTTGCATTGCAAGATTTCTTAGAAGGGGCTGGGGATTTAGCTCAGCGGCACACAGCCTGCCTGGCAAGCTCGAGGTCGTGAGTTCAATTCCCGGTACCGGAAAAAAAAAACAAATAAACAACAAAAAAAAGATTTCTTAGCAAGACTTTTAGAATAGATTAAAATTTTATCTGTTAAACACTTTATCGACAAAATGTTGTTAGTAAACCCAGAGCGAATGTGATGGCTTTTCCTTTCGTGTAAAGTCACAAAGAGTTAAACCAAACTGCCTGTCGCTGGCTGGCGTAATCTTTCTTCAATGGTCATAACTTCTGAAGAGTTCAACCATTCATTTGGTTCAGTGGTCAGAAAATGATCTGAAGCAACCAAAGGCATAGGTCTGGGTTATCTCCAAGGTTTGCACCTATAAAGTCTTTGCCCAATAAAAGAAAAAAAAACTTGAGTTTCATCCCCTGCCAGTGGTGAGAAAGCCCGCATAACAAGTTGCCAGCAATTCCCCCGGCATTGCCCCCGGATTGCCCCGCCTTTAAATATCCCCCCGCCCAGTTTTCTCTCTCCTATTCTACTATGTCTTTCCTTCCTGTACTGTTTCACCCCAAACTCTGTTCATTCAAAAATATGTGTGGAGTGGTTACTGCTTACCAAGCCTGGGCTAACCACTGTCCCTAAATGCGGGTGTCCCTAGAGTTCGCGTTTAGCACACCATAAGTTTTTCACTTACTTTTCTAAACCTCCATTTGCCCTGGATATACCCCCAAGTCAGGGGCTCCAATCTTGGCCTCAACCCCTGGGCCCTAAATAGAACAGGCACCTGTCCTAAGGCCGCTTGACATCTAAATGTTGACATCTAAATGCCTCCTCGAAGGCCCAGCTCAAATGGCCACGTCTGCCCTCACCCCCTGGCCCCTGCTCGGGAGCTCCTACCCGCGGCACAGCACCACAACCCCTCCAGGGCCCCAACAGTATCTTTGACTTCCTGGGGAAGGAGGTGGGGGGTTCTGCCTTTGAGTCTAGGTGGGAGGCTAAAGGAGGAGGCTCCTCTAAGCCGGCTGTTCCTCCCTGGCCCATTGGTGGGAGCAGCAGGATGTGGGCGAGCACTGCTTCAGAGTGGCATCCGTGCACCTGAGGGCTTGCAGAACTGAGGCCGGGGATGGGGCGGGCGCCATACGAGGTTTTAGGCTGGCAGAGCCCGCAAGGCTGGACAGCAAATTTGGTTGTCGTCACCACATACGCACACAATGCCATGCCTCGCTGCTTTCCTGCTTCCTCCGCTCCCAGTGCCCTTCCTCCTCTCCTCCCACACCCAACTCCCCCTCCTCCTCCTCCTCCGGGAAGCTCTCCCTGACGCCCCCGCCGGGTTCTCCGCCGTGCCCCGCGCCTCCGCGCGTCTGGCACTGTTTGTTTACGCGCCGCTGTCTGGGTCTCCCCGCCGCAGGGAAGCCCCTTGGGACGCTGGGTAGGGCGCCTCGGACCCGCACCCCAGAGGCGCAGGGCGTGCCCCGCGCGTGGCCACCCTCAGGCGCGACCCAGGCCCGCGGGGGGAGCTCCCCGGGGTCCCCCTTGCAGCGCGCGTGGCGGCGGCGGTGGCGCCAGGTCTCCAGGCCTCCCCGTCCCCTCTGTCCGTGCGCCCGAGACCCCGTGGCCGCCCCCCGCTCCCCTCCGCTGTGCCGCGGCCAGGGGTGCAGAGGGGGCCAGCACCCGGAGGGAGCGAGCCCGAGCCCCACAGGCCCGGAGCCTCCAGGCCCGCGCGCCCGGGCCCCTCCGGGGGGCTCCCCTACCTGGCTGGCTTTGTGGAACTGCTTCTTCAGCCCGGCCACCGACATCGCGGCTGCGCTGGGGAGCGGGCCGGTCCCCAGGGCTGGGCTCCACGTCCCACGGCCCGGCCCGGCCGCTGTCACCTCGCTCACCCGCGCGCGCGCCGAGGGTCGCCGCTCGCAGAGCCCGCGCCGCCCATTGGCCCGGCCGGGCGGTATGCAAATGAGGCCGCGCACCGCCCACCCGCATTGTTGCGTGGAGACCGAAGGACGCGTGCTGGGGGCGCGGCGGGGACTACCCGGTCCGGGCAGAGCCACTAGGACCCCCTGCGGGGCGCGGGGGCGGGTCTCAGCGTCGAGTGGGGGACCTGGTGCGAAACCTGCTTTTGTTCACAAAGCGGCACCATCGCCATCTCCACCCGGCGCGTTTTCGGAAGAGGTCTGTTTTTAGGGAAGGGGCCCTCGGAAAGGTGCGTGGGGAAGGAAAGGGGAAGGACAGGGGCATTGTCGTGGGAGGACTCCTGCTTCGGCGCCGGACACAGTGCTTTGGGTGCAATCTGCCCGGGCGATTTTGTGTTCCTATGGTCTCTCTGTGACATGCTGTGAACTGCGTAAGAGCAGCTACCTGTGAGGCACTTAAAGGCGCCTCCTCTGCACTCAGGGCTCCCCCTGCCCCGGGCCGCTGACAGGTCTAGCGCATCCCTAGGCACTGAGCTCTCTGGTCAGCGCCCCCACAGCGAGGCCCAGCCTGCGGCATGGAGCACTGCATGGACTCTCGGGACATAGCTGATCCAACTCTTCCCAGAATCCTGCCTTCCGAGGCACCCAGGCTGCTAACGGCTGGCCCCGCTTTGGCGACCGAGGCTTGGCAATGAAAGAAATATCTGCCTCCTTCTGAATCCGCCTAAAGGCAGTTTTTCTCTGGGAGCCCTCACCAGGTCTCATTTAGCGGACCCTCCTTACCCCGCTCACTCCTGCTTCTACCTGGGCCCTGGCGTCCACTCAGGTGTAGGGTTTTTCCAGGACAAACGTCTCACGGTCTGTCCCCTGTCCGTCAGGCCCAAGCGGTTCTCCCTGACTTCATGCTGGGGATGACCATGCAAGTTACGCCAAGGTGCCTCAGTTTCCTTACATTACCTTGGAGGGAGTGGACTTGAGTCTGATGAGGGAGAAATGTGTGAACCTAGCAGAGCTGGGAGAAACCCTGGTGCTCGTGGATTACAGAGGGTGACTCCGTTAGCCCTTGGGCTTGATTGGCCAAGGGCTGGCTGACACCAGCCACAGTGACCTGTCTACGCAGCAGTCCCAGCTCCACTCAGAATGGACTCTCCACTGGGGTAACTGTTGCCTAAGGCAGAAAACCAGCAGGGGACAAGCCCTGGTGGGTCTTCCTTGTCCTGGGCTGGACCAGGGCTGTGTAGACCACACACAGCTGCCTACCTTCTCCATGCCCAAGAGTAGTTTCAACAGCATGGGTTCAGAGAACGTCTCCCTAAACCAATCTGGCTGTCTATGAGAAGGAAGAAGGTTATTTAAAAAAAAACAAAACTTATGGGTGTTTCTTCCATGATTGGTAGCATATTCAAGCCTCCTATTTTAATTCTGGTGGTTTATCTTCTTAATTTTATCACGTGTAGAGGCGTAGATCATATTCTCATAATTTGCACATTTGAGAAATTTACATATACATTTTTCCTTTGTAAAAGTGTTCGTGACTTTTCTTAGTTTTTTTTTCCCAGAGATTGGACTCATTGAATGTCTGCAACTGTATTGCTGCTTTAAACACTTTTTGCACTTCCTCATCATTGCTACAGATTTTTTTTCCTCTTCTTAATTTTTCTTTATATTTATATGTTCTTCTTTCTGTTTTGTTCAGAGGACTAGTCAGGGTTTCAAATCATTAGCAGCAGAAACTGATTCTAGTTCTTATAATATGGAAAACAAGGGATTGGAGTAAGCTGTCAAGTAGCCTGAAAACTCACAGGAGGAGTACAGGGAGATTTCTGTAATGCAGGAAGAAGCTCCAGAAGCTAGGTAGCCAAAAACCAAAATCATCTAACAAATAACAATAAATGTCCACTGAAGTTTGAGCCTCCATTATGTCTCCTTAATCTTTTTTTTTTCTTTTTTTGCGGTACTGGAGATTGAACTCACAACCTTGTGCTTACCAGGCAGGCACTTATGCCAGTGAGCCATATCCCCAGCCCCTCCTTAATCTTATAGTTGAGCATGTGGTCTATTTTTGTTCTTTGGGGTTAACACATATAATGCTGTGGATTTTCCTCAAGACGATGGTTTTGGTTTCATGCCTTGTTTTCACAATACAGACCTTCTGATTATTTTCTAAATAAACTTGAAATTAGTTTTGAGTTCCTCTTTGGCTCACATGTTATTCAGGACAATTTTTAAAATTCTTTTCTAGATGGTTTGCTTTTTCATTCTTTATATGTTAAATTTGTGCTATTGTTGTTAAAGAACAGGTCTTGAAGGTTTTCTTCGCACACAGCCTGTGGTGTTAAACCAAAGATATGTACTGCAGAGGTTTGAAATGATGTGTGGCGCTCCGCTTTCTAGTGTACAGATTTTCCATTTATCTATCGAGGAACTTGTGCTCCACCACAGCTCACAGCTCAGAGGAGGATGGAATTAGAGGCTGCAGCTTGGCCATTCTAGAGTTTCCCTCACCCAAGGAAGGGTATAAAAATGTCATGGTCTATCTTTGTGAGGAAGACAATGATGGAGAGAAGACAAGTTGAAAAGGAATTGTGAGTGTCATCTACAGGGGTTGAAATTAACAGGGACGGAGAAGAGTCTGGGGACACAAACACCATCACTCTGAACCAAAGGACCTTCACACATTCTCAGTCTTCAAAGGACGATGACAAAAGGACAGCATGGTTGTCTCTGACACTCTGGGAAGTGGGCCCACATTCTGGCAGAGGTTTCAGTGTTCTTTTACGGTGGTCCCTTTTTCTCTCTGATCTGCAGACTGCTTCGCTAGTACACACTGACGTTTCTGTGTCTGTGGTGGATTAACAAATGGTCAAATTGCAATGCCCAGCTGAACTGAATCAGCGTGGTGCTGGGTGAGGAAGCCCCACCTGTGAATTGCTGCCAGCAGCATAAAAGGAGATCTGGAGGAGAAGATGGTGTGCTGTTGATTCTCCTGAAGAAGTGAATGTTGTTGCACTGGCTTTGCTGATATGAACATGGCTGTTCTCAATGCTGGAGGAACTCAGATCCTCACTGTCACTGAAGATAGCTGTGGTTCTCTTCAGAGGAGCTCTGGTCCTTACCATGAGCGTTGCTTTCTGGCTCCAGTGCCAGTCTCTCAGCCTGCTGGCACAGATCCTTCACCACGCTGGCACAGACTTTCTAACTTCCACCAGATCCTTAATACAGATTTGCATGAGACATTGTCATGGGCTCTAGGCCTCCAGCTGGACTTGTGCAGCACGTTGCCGTGGGATCCAGACCCCCTAGCAGATTCTTTGGGTCTAGATTGTTTGAGTCTCTAATTTGTGGACAGGTCTCTCACACTCTTCTGCATTTGACTTTTTGGGTGAATATTATAAAATAATCCTATAAATTATGTGTCCTGTGTTAAATCTGTTCTCTTGTAAACCCTGACTACAACACTGTCTTATGCTTGGACCAGCTTCTAAGCCTAGTATTTGCAGTCCTACTGATTCTGTGAGAGACTGATATCCATCTGGCAGTGGGTGTAAGGGTGCTGAAGAATCCTAGCTAAGCAATGCAAGGTTTTATGGTTCATAGATTTTCCTCCAAAGTCATGCACTTATAGGTGGGGCTTTGGGGAAGTGATGGATCATGGGGGCATGTTCGGTTTAAAGCTAAATGCCATGTGGGGAGATGGAGCCAGATTGGAGGAGGTGGTCATCTGGGGGCGTGACCCGGAAGGTGTCTCTTCCTCCTCCTCCCTTGAGCACACTCTGCTCCTTAACTGCCATGCCTTGAGCAATTCTGCCACCCACCCTGCCTTGGAGCCAGCACACTAAGGACTGAAAGCTCCACAAACTATGTGCCAAAAATAAATCTTTCCTCTTTTAAGTTATAGTTGTCCAGTGTTGTGTCTCAGCAGCGAGAAAGTAACTAAAACACAGAGGGAAGAAGAATATTTGCTGATGTTTCAGAGCATTATCCCACTGTAGCATAGACCAAGTCCTCTGAGCTTATTCAAATACTGTCTAACCAAATTTTTTCTGCTTTTGTCCATCACTAGTATATTCTACCCCAAGCTAATTATGCTACAACTGTGATTATGTCTGTTGTCCCTTATATTTGGGAGTTTTGCTTTAAATATTTTAGTGCATTGGTATTCTGTTTACAGTTATCATACCTTCTTTGTCAATTGTGCCTTTAAAGAAAATAACATTTGTTGTATTTATGGCTCTTTTGCCTTTTGCTTTTTTATGTCAATATTTGTACCCCTGCGTTTTGTTCCTGTATGCACCCTATTCCTTACTTCATAATATTAGTTTTATTTCTGACCTTTCATTTTGTCTTAGATGTGTACTGATAAACAAAATAAAACTTTATTTCTTTTCTGAATCAAAATATTCTTTGTCTTTTACCTAGAGAGATGTAAAGCATTCATGTTTATTAGAGAAGGGGTATAATTTGTCTTAGTTTTGTCATTTATGGTGTCTGTTGTTTTTCCTTTGAAGAGTTCCATTTTCTATCATTATTATGTTACATTTTCTTTGCTTACTCTTCACCTTTGCTTAGGGGATTTATAACCGAATTTTTACTCATTGAATGGTTATCATCAACCTATGAAATATTTGAACTTATATTCTCCATCACTATCAATAATTAAATATAGTATGGAAACCATGATGATTAGGATATGCCAAGATCAGCACCCAGTCTGGGGCCACCTCATCACCTGCTTCTACTCAGACCTGCCCAGGCCCTGGCTGTCTGAGAACCTTGGACAGAGACTAGTATAAGCCTAGTTTCTTTGGTCTGAAACAAGTAAACCAGTTTGAGATTGCGGTACAGGGTGTTGGTTTTATGGCAAAAAGACAAAAATGGAGAATGACAATTTAAAAATAAATTTTGAGACAAAAGAGTTGTGAAGCAAATTTTTTTATAAATATACATTTTTCGTGATACAACACTTAAAACTTGGAAACTACCCAAAAGAAAAA